CTAGAATTTAGCTTATTCATTGCTCTGTTGTAAAGACCACATCTGTGTTGTGAATATTCGTCCCTTTGATTTCTTGGTGTACATTTTTTAATAATGATTTATGTTTTTATGGTGCAGTACAAGAATGTTAGACCGGATTACCTGAAGAACATATGGAAGGTCATCAATTGGAACTGTGCAAGTGGAGCGTATGAGAAAGAAAGTGCTTGAGCTTGATGTAGAGAATTAAGAGGCACTTTATTAGTTGGCAATGACAAACAGAGTAATAAGATGAATACGAGATGATGTACGTTCAGTCTTATTGATGTGTCGGAACCATCTTTCGGTTGGGTCCGGAATTGGGCTTCGACTTAGGAAAAATGATTTGGAGTCGCCACCGATCATTTATTTTAAAACAAATAGGTTGACCGGATACCTTATTTCTTACCTAATCTGCGTCTTTCTAAAGATGTGTCGGATTCGGGAGTCGGTTACAGTCAAGGAAGGGTTAGCACCCTTGAACTAACCTTTCGGTACCATTTAATTTATCGGTTGTCTTAATTGCGAAAATTAAAAAATTAAATTAAAAATTAAAAACTCGATTCGAATTACTGATCTTTGATTAGTTGAAAGTATCCCTAATCGAAAATATTAGATAAGAAATAATAAATAAATATTAAATAAATTAAAGGGAAAAAATAAAAAAAATAAAAAAAATGAATAAAATGGAGTGACAGTTCTCTTGGCTTTCAATGTAATACTCGCATGCTTAGAATTGAAAACTATTCAAGGGAATAAGAGTACTAAAACGAAGAGCAAGTTACATGCTTTCAAATTCCTCTCATGGCAAATACCCATCAATCACAAAGCTTAACCCAACAAATTAAACAATACAAACAAAAGCAGAGACTAAAAAGCATGGAGCAAAGGCTTTCAACAAATTAAATGTTTTAAAAGCAGAGTATTTCTTTTATCGAACCTACTGGGAGCACACCAACAAAAAGGTTAACATTAATGTAAAAGTTTATGTCAATTCTGCTTAACTGCATAGATGCTCAAAATTGGAGCAGTTAGGTTAGCGAAATTATGATTAAATGCATTCACTTCCAATGAAACTTTTGAAAATGAGAATCAAGTTCCAAGACTTAACTAATTTTATGATGGCCATTAACATAATAACCAAAGGACTGGAAAAATTAATTTACCAAAATATTGGCGCCAATGCTAGTTCCAACAGCAAATAAAGGAGCTTCAGGATATTCACAATGAATATGGTCAATAATTTTCCGCAGATCTTCTGTCCATCCAGCGTTATAGAAGCAATTAGATGTGGGTGATACACCTCCCAGCCCACGATGGTTGCTTACAACAACATTCCAACCGCTTCTTGCCAAGTTGAATGCAAAATGCTTCGCATAAGGAGAAGAAGAATCGCGTCTATAGGTAACTGAATGAGCCTTTCCAAAAAGAGTCGAGAAAGATGTCTGAAGATGAGGACTAGAAAGCCATGGAGTGGGTCGTCAGCTTGTTTGAGCAAATTTTGCAACGATAAACATCCGAGTCGGTGCCTCTCGAACCAGGGATTTGGAGATGAGAGAAGAAACTTCGTTCCTGAAAGTGGAACGAGTCTCGGAGTAGTTATTTTCGGAAAGATAGCGATCAACGATGAATGCGACTTGAACCGGAGTGACTTTCCCTTTGCCCAGAATCTCTGGTTTCTTAGATCTGTCTTTCTCTGTTGGATTATCTTATTGCCAGATTTCCCAAGTCTCATGTCCCCCTCCCTCTTGGTTCCTTTTTGATGCTTTGTTCTCCCCCTCCAATGATTCCTCGTCCCTGTTAATATTTAGGAGTAGGCTTTTAAAATTTATGAAAGTGGTTAAACATGGGGCCAAGAATTATGGAGAGGTGGGTGGTGATATGAACGGGGTTGAGATAATGGTGAGAAAAAGTCAATGGAAATGAGGGTTGAACAAAAAACCTACAATAATAATAATAATAATAATAATAATAATATATATATAATATAATAATTTTTTGTAAACCCGGATAAAAACAGGTGTCTGCAACTGTCCCTCTTTGCACATTTTTGTGTTAACAAGAATAGGGCAAAGACGAAAAAAGACAATCAGTTTTTGTCTGGTCCTCTCAAATGTGATTGGGCTTCCTGGAATTGGGCATTTGTCTTCTTCTCGGTTTAAAGATTTCGACTTGAAAATTCTTCTAGAAAGTAGTTCATCGCTGTCATCGTGCTGAATGAAATCGAACTCGTCAGTTTTTGTTGACAGATAACCCTTCTCGCCTTAAACTATGCTGTAAATTTGATTTGCCTCTGAGTTGAATGTAATCGAACTCGAAAGTTTGGTGTTTCAAGAGAAACATTCTCAAAGGGTTTTTTTTTGTTTCAAGAGAAATTGTCTCTAAAGAGACAAAACTTTGTTTCAAGGGAAAATGCATCAAGAGAGACAAAATTTGTTTCAAGAGAAACTGTCTCAAGAGAGACAAAACTTAGTTCCAAAAGAAACTGTCTCAAGGGAGACGAAATTTGTTTAAATGAAAACATATTCAAAGATTTTGTTTCAAGGGAAACTGTCTCAAGAGAGACAAAATTTGTTTCGAGGGAAACTGTCTCAAGAGAGACAAAATTTGTTTCAAGAGAAAATTTCTCAAGAGAGACAAAACTTTGTTTTGAGTAAATTAGTCTCAAGCGAGACGACCCCTTGTTTCGAGAGAAACAATCTCAAAAGCGATCAATAATCTATTTTTTCTTTCTTATTGGTTGAAGCTCAATTGGGCTCAGCACATTGTTAAATCCAGAAGCCGAGTGTTTGGGAATACTAGTTTCTTGTAGCATGTGTTTTTATTAGTAATATGCTGTGCAAGTATCAAAGGATTGAATGATAGATAAATATTTTATTTCTATATGTCGTGTAGGCATCAAATAACATGAGAATGGAATTTATTTGTTAAATTGAATGTTTTGAACAATGGTACACATTCTAGGTATTGCAAGGACAATTACTAAAACCATAAACCCCATCATTAATATAAAAACATCAGATAATTACTAAAATGATGCAGATTTTTACACACCGACCGTTGTATCACCTCTTCTTTGGTAGCTTGCCTCGAGGTTCTGTAAACGAGTCCATGGTAAGAGTAGCATGAAAAAAATTGGGGTAACACGATAGCCGAGCACAGTAGCCTGTAAGGATTCGTAAACCAAGCTCGTTCGCTTACGGCATTGGAGGAGCAGATGCTCCAAAGGCTTCTGATGTCACAATTATATATATAGATGGATAAAAGAAACTGTTTATAAAATCCTATATTCTGTAATAATTCTTTACACACTCGAGAAAAACAAAAAAAGGAGAAACATGGGATTTAATTTTCCTTGGTTGACCTAGGTTTTGATGTCGTTGCTTCTTTTGCTAGGTCCAGACGACGACACATTTCCGCCCTTGGGAAGCATGCTGAGAAAAACTGGCCCATACTTTCCGGCCAGTTTTTGAGTCGGCGACCTCAGAACCATATGGTCACACGGGAGAGCTGTCGATTTATGATCTAGTTCCGGTTTATTGGAGCAGTCGACGGCAACAGGAAGGGCAAGGTTCGAGGTTGGTCGTGTAGCTGACTGATGACCATTGGGAAGCCTAGCTGAGGAAAGAGAAATAGATGAGAAGAAGAAGTAGACAAGTTGAGAAGATTTCTGGGTTTTGTTGGAGGACGCCATTAGTGAGAGGTTGTTGGGTTTGGATGAATCAAAGAGGGGGAGGTGGGTTGATCGAAGGAAATCGTTGTCTGTGGCAGTGGATTTGACAAACTCAGTTCAGTTGCTATTTAATTTAAAAGTCATCAAACAGTTAGAAAAATGCAAGTTTACGCTCTGCTTCATTGACTTAATTAATTATATTCTTCTTTAATTACTTTTCCTCAATTCAATTTTATTTGAGATTGGGCTTGTGCTCATTTTATCATGATATTTGTAATTTTATTCGTTTTCTTTACATTAATGGTTTATGTCATGTCACATAAAAATTGTGAGAATATATGTTGTGAATATTATAGAATGGGTAAATTATACGAGTGACCACTTAATTATAGATCATTTTCATTTTGACTATTATTTTTGAATTTTTGTCAATCGAATTATCTAATTATTTAAATGTATTCAATCAACTACAAGTTTGAAGTGCATTTTTCATAATTTTTTCTCCATGTTGGATATCATACTGCCACCTCGCAATGCCATGTAAAATAAAAAGTTTGGGCATTTCAGATGGGCTTGGACCTCTTGGGGAATTTGGTAAAGGAGATGCTAAAATAAATATTGAAAAATTTTCAATTCCACCGATGCTATGAAAGGTGCTGTTTTCCAAATTGGCATCCATAACGTGGGCCATATATAGGGGTGTTCAAAGTTTGACTTTAATTGAACTAATCAATTGAACCGATGTTTTTCTCGGTTAATTTTTTTATCAATTAACTGTAGACACCCGTTTTGTCCCCTTTATTATTTTATTATTTTGTATGCTATTACAAATAATACCTAATTTGGGTCTAAATCCCAAGCTATGTTACAAGACCTATTATTCCCTGACCCAAACCAATTGAAGGTCTATCTCAAGCCCAATGGTCATCAGCAGCTGCATGCAAAAAAGAGAAAGAAAAATTGAGGTCGGTTTTTAGCAGTTAAATAACTAGATAGTGGGGGGGGTTAACAAGCGGGGAAAGGATGGGAGATATATCGGCAAACCACCAGAAAGAAAAAAGGGGACGATCGACGATAAGAACCGGAGAACACACACAAGAAACGGATAGAGAACCATAAACGAAGGAAAGTATTTCAGAAAAAAAAGGACTAGGAGCCGAGGACCCTGTTAGATATCAACAACCTCATAGTGTAAAGGAATACAAAAGAAAAACGAGGTGTAATCTCAGAATTCAAAAAAAAAAAACAGAGAAAGCAATTAAAATACACACTTTCTCGAGGTATTTTTCTTCCATTTATTTTTTATTTCCAATCTGTTTTTTTATGCTATTATTATTCAACTGAAAATAGAGAGGGATTAGGAATTCACTTGGATTATGCGAAAGTAGGGAGTCTCGTTGACTTTGTTTCATCACCGTCGGGTTCTGTTGTCAAAGAAAAGGGATCGATGTTAGTCTTAGTAAATAACACTTTTTGAATCAAGCAGTAAAGAACGAGAAAGGATAGAAATTAGCTTTTCTTTACCTAGTTCTGCATCGGGTCTCCATTGGGGTAGGGGAGTCGAGTCTTGTCGTCTGGAATAAAGATTGTTCGTCCGGGGTCATCTGAGGTAGAGGAAATCGAGAGAGAATTTACAAACAGAACCCATGTGACCTTCCCGATTATTCAAAAAAAAAACGATCCATGTTAGAGTTTTTCTTTCATATTCGGAAAATTAAACAGTACAAACATAAGAAGTTTCTAATTTTTTTTAACTTTCTTTCGAACCTCAAACAACCCTTTTCTCACATTTTTTTTCTGAAATCAAAACAGAGTATTAAGAAAAGTGGGGGTCGTTTACCTTAAATGTGGATGTCCATTGTCGGAGTCGAGGTCTCTTGAGGTCATCGGAAAGAGTAGAGTCGAGGTCCCTTCGAACCATATTATGTTTTGCATGTAGGCTCGGTTTTGGGTTCGATCGATAGGTTTTGAAGTGGTTGAGGAATGAGTTTCGCGGTTAGGTTACGGTGGACGATGGACAGAGGAGGTTGTTGTGGTGGTCGAAGTTGGGGTTGAAGGGTTAATTTTCGGCATTGATAGGATTTTAAGAGTGTCCATTGAAAGAGAAAAAAGGGAATTAAGGTTTGCTTCTAAGCTTTTAGGGACCATATCTAGATTAGAAGAAGAAATACGCGAGATTTTAGGGCGATCGGAGTCAAACCCACTGTTGATGGTGGCCGGGCGAGCGTGGAACAATGGGGACTCTCGGTGCGTTCATGTGAGCTTCAGAGAAAGGGGTTGAGAGATGAGGAGCGGCTGGTGGGGTTGCATAGGATTAGTTTAGGTTTAATTATTTAGTTAGGTTTTATATTAATAGTTTCAGGTAAATTAGAGTTTAGTCACCATGATGATTTGGGTAAACTAGAGTTTAGGCCCTCACAATTTATGCTTTCTTTTACAAAGCAGTGCCTTTCTTGTTTCGTTTCAAATGTGCATGTATTATTTATGCTATTTGGCATATTATCTTAATTTAAACCAAATAGGATAAATTGTATATAAAACCCTCTAGATTCATGTGTATTTTTGTTTAAGTCGCTAGTTTATTTCCAATTTCATATGTTTAATTTTACGTACATTTAAATTTGGTCATTTTTTTAATATGTATATACATACCTTTTTAAAATTTTTAGTTTAGCATATCATGTTTTTATATTTTATATTTAAGTCACATGTATACAATATATGTTAATATGCATGGTTTATAATTTTTTTAATTAAAAAATACATGTATAAATTTTTTGTATGTCACGTTGTATGATTTTTTTAATTTTGTTTAATTAATTTTGGAATGACATCCTTTTTGCACAATTTGTATGAGATCCTCATGTGCATAACTTGACTTATAAATACATAATCAGACTAATGATAATACCCTTTTAATTTAAAATTTTCTTGAGTTGCTCGTCTTAACTCATTAGAGGGCCATTTTGACGATTTTAAATTAAAGGTGTGTCCCGAAAGTGAAACCTAAAAAATTGATTCATCACTTAAAATTTGGAAATGAAAGAAAAGGAAATGTTCGGTTATTTAATTGTTTCTAGAAAAGATTGTTACAACTCATCTAAGATCTGGTCTCGATATTTTTAAATAATCGAACATTCTTTATCTTTCTAAAACGACTTGATAATTTTAATTTAATTTATTTGGGTGCTTTTGAATATTATTAAATTCACATCTTTGTTTTATGAGATCAAAAATCAAATTAAGTTTGAATTTTTAAAGTTCATTGCAAAGACGTTAATTAATTGACTAGGTACCGATTTAGGGCGCTGTGGGGGTGCTAATCCTTCCCCACACATAACCGACTCTCGAAATAATTTTTGGCAACGCATACCTCAATTTGTCATTTTAATTAAAATTAATTTTTATCCCTAATCAAATATTGGTGGCGACTCTTCGAACCGTTTAATTTATCGTAAAAAGAATCCTAAATTTTTCGAAACGAGAGGTTTTTTTAAATCATATTTTTTTTAAATTAAAAATTAACCAAAAGAGAATGAATTAAAATGTGTGGTTTTCAAAATCTCACTTTTAAAGAAAAATCGTTTCAACATTAACAATTAAGAATTTTTTAAATTTTGGTTATTGTTTAATTCAGTTCGAAATTGATTAATTAATTAAATTAATATCACATATTATATATTATTTATATATCACATAGTCTTAGTAGTGTCTAAACTTCGGTTTTAATCGAATTAACTAAAAATATTAAATATATAATGTATATTATTTATAAATTTTTGTTAATTTGATTAAAATTTCGATTAACTGAACTTTATTCGGTTCAATTAAAAATTTCAGAGACATAACTATATTATAGGTGGAAGGAACAATGTCTTCCCTAACTTTGATGATATAATTTTTTTAAGTCATTGATAATTTTGAAATTATTACAATTATTTTTTTTTCTTTCAAAATTTTTTGATATAATTATTTTTAGGAGGCTATCAGTTTTTAAATTAACAAGACCTTAAATTTGTCTGGTTTAATTACTTCCTAAGATCTTTAAATTTTAAAATTAGTGAAATTAAACCTTGATCACTTAACTTTTATGATTTAGCTATTTTTTACACCCTATTTATTTTAAAATTAAATAACTTACCCCTCATAATGTAATCCTAATTTTTTCCCCTGTATACATCACACTCTTGATGCTGAGCAGAGGGCACAAATCAATGAGTTGTTTACATTGTTGAGAGAATCTCAGCTACTTCCTTTGATATTTTAAAATTTTTGTAGATATTTCAATTCATGTCGATTTCAGTATTGCATCGATATGAAGATGCATTTATCTTTGAATTTGTCACTTCCGTAATCTTCCACTGTTGTAATTTTGTCCTCTTTACATACTTTTTATTTTCTTTTCTTCACTGTCCCATTCTCTAGGCTACCTTTTGTTTACATTTGGATAGGATGTTCAATTAATCGGTTCGATTAACCAACTAAATCAAACTTTAAAAAATTTATTAATTGATTTTTTTGTTTTAACCATTAATTAAATTAATTTTTTTTCAAAAAATAATTAATCGAAACGAACAAATTTTGGTTAATTGATCGGTTAACTAAATTAATCAAAATTTTAATTAATTCGGTGAAAACCAAAATTTAAACACTCCTAAAGCTATTAATATATAAATAATATAAATAAAATATTAAAAATTTAAAAATTTTGGTTAATTAACCGATTTTAAACCAAATTAACTAATAATTGAACTTTGAAAAAATCATTAATCATTAATTGACTAAACTTAAAATTAATCGACCGATTAACCGAAATTTTTTTTCTTTTCGATCGGTTTTATCAGTTAACCAAAATTTTGAACACTCCTACGTTTGGGAAGTCCTATTCTAATTTCAGCACTCTACATTCTCATCACAAAGTTATATGAAGTATTTGTACTTAAGTAATTTTATCCGAAAATCACCCAAAAAATAAAAGGTATCAAATTAACATATTTTTCTCGAATATGTACCAAACTATCACCCTTTCTGATATGGAAAAAAGGTGCGCTTCAGGGGGCGTTTTCCAAGGTTTTTGCTGATTTAGCGACCACGGTGGAAGGCGTGTTGCAGGGGAAGCGCTTTTGAAAGCGCGCTGCAAGGGCTATACCTTTGACTTTGATTTAGGGTTAGATTGGTTGAGCACTTTGGGGTTTTGGGATAAATACACCATTCATACAAGAACTATACCAAATTCTCAGTTTCATACATATTGTTTAAAAATTATCGATTTCATACATGATATTTTCTGTCACTAACAGATTTACCCACTTACTTCACAAAATGTGACGTAGAACCCTACGATCACGACACATGTCATTTTAGTGACTACTTTTTTTTCAAGTGCCACATGTCAATGGTTGTAGGGTTCCACGCGACCTTCCGTGACGGAAGTGGTGAATCTATTAACGGCAGAAAACATCATGTATGAAATCAAGAATTTTTAAACAATATGTATGAAACTGAGAATTTGGTATAGTTCATGTATGAATGAGTTATTTAGCACTGTTTTTTTTTTTTTGCAATTTAGGGTTTTTTGGTTAAGATAATTTATGGTTTTTTTTTGTTATAATGGTTTACGGTTAGGTTAAAATTAGAAAAATTAATCACAAGAACGAAACCTTAAATCAAAAATAATGAACCCTAAACATTAAATTATAAACCCTTAATCGTAGACGTTAAACCTTGTAAATTGTAAATCATTAATCATAAAAAAGTTCTACATAAAATGTAATCATTCAACATTAAAATGAAAATCATAATTTATAAACCATATATACATAAACCGTAGAATATAAACCTTAATGATGTTTATATATATTATGTATATTGTAATACCCTACACCCGATTGGGCCTAAAATGCCATATTGGACTACCGAGGCAACCCTGATTTTCTAATCTTATTTGTTTTCTTTTCAAACATACTGAATTGTACCATAAATAAAACATACATATTGTCATAAAAATCAATTTACAAAACCAGAGCTCTATGACACATAATTTAAAATAAAAATAATACAACTCTGAGTTTAATAATATGAATACATAATTAAGGTATTATGAATACATATGCCCACTAAACTACGATATAGTACTCTGAAGGAGATGTTGGAAGTCCTGTTGCGACGGTGCTCCACGAACTGCTCATACTACTAACATGCCAATGGAAAACATCCAAAGACAGAGCTTACAAAGCACAATAGTATAATCCCTAATCTAAAGCATCATAAGAATTTCATAAAAGCAAGCATGCTAAAGATGTGGCTCTAAGCAGTAGGTTCATGCATGATCTAGATCAAGTGCTACCTACTTAAAGCTTATTTGTTTTATCTCTGAAGTAGGGATCTCATGCTTCCCTAAATACTCTGCTAAGGGTTTAGCCATGAGCATGTTGCTAAAGGATCTCTAACCTTAATGTTTACATCTACTACGCAATATCTAAATGCGATATCAGTTCTACTGTGCATCATCTGAATGTTGTGGCAACTCTGATATGCATTATCTAAATGTAATATTGATTATTGTGCATTATCTGAATACAATATTGACTTTGTTGTGACTCATACATTAGCCGAGGTAGGCATTATAGTGCAACTTAGGGGCTGCATCTCGGAGCTCACACACCCTTTTATCCTACCATGTACTAATATATGATATAAAACAAAAAATATGAAGCTATGGCAGACATTATGGTGAGGCTGAGGGGATGTATCTCAGTGCTCATGCACCTCTTTATCTTGCTGGAATATCCTCGGTACCTGAGAGAGATCTGAAATTACATCGAAAACGTACATCTAGCCCCTAAGATATATGAGGTGAGATCCAGAGTTGCATTGGAAACCTACACCCCATCAACTTACCCCATCGAGTCTCAGGGCATCTACGCCCAACTGGAAAAATAAGTGCATTGGCACTAACTCGTACCTGGACATACTAACAACAAAACAATCGCCTTATTGCTAAAGTAACTCGGGTGTCCTTGTTGTTTCCTGAGTGTCACTCAAAAACTAGTTTTATGACATCCTAGCTATTATTGTTTCTAGATTTTACTGTTACTATTTCTATCTGTTTTGAGTTATTACTGATCTCGTTTACTATTCACCCTAGTTGTTAACTTGCTCTTTCTCTAATCTAGAATGTTATGCTAGGAATTACCAATCTATTATTTATGTCAATCTGTACTGATTTGGTTATACACTTCTCAAGGATATTTTAGTCATTCTCCGACTCTGGGGAAGTAT